GGGGGGGGGGGGGGGGATCAGAGCCACTGGTCTTTTATAACCCAGGACACCTGGGTGCACGTGCGTATTTACATCAAATGCTTGGCAAGATTCTGAATATCTGATGGGTCCTGACCGTTTTCCTTACAATAATATTTCAGTATTGGAAGGAACTTCATATTTTTCACAGGGTGAAAGTGAAGCCTTGAAAATTTCAATTAATTGCTTAAAATCACGTTAGTTTTTATATGCACTAGTAAATATAAAATTATACCACAATTCAGATAGCCTGCCTTGCTAATACATTGTTTTGAAAAGTTAGTTTCAATTAAATTTGTTATTTTACCCTGATACTAACAGTTGCTCATGTTTAAATATAAATACAGAATCATTTCTACACACTCAAACATTTACATCTATTTCTACTTATTGAAAACTATAGGGGGAGAGAGGAAATAGGGAGATGTAGGACAAAGGCTACAAAGTAGCCATTATGTAAGATGAACAAGTCTAGAGATCTAATGCACAACATGAGGACTACAGTTAATAAAATTGTACCGTATTTGAGATTTTTGTTAAATAAGTAGATTTTTTTCTTTTTTAAAGATGACAGATAAGGGGATCTTAACCCTTGACTTGGTGTTGTCAGCACCATGCTCTCCCAAGTGAGCCACGGGCTAGCCCTTAAATAAGTAGATTTTAGCTGCTGCTGTCACACACAAAAACGTAACTACCTGAGATGATAGATAAGTTAATTTGCGTCACCATAGTAATCATTTTGCTATCATATGTATCCTGTAACATCATGTTCAACCTCAAGTATACACAAAATTTATTAAAGAAAACAAACAGGCCGCCCGACATCTTATTTTTTCAATAAGTTTCACAGAACTAACATGATTGGATGGAAGAGAGTTTTTAAGGCTCTAAAAAAAATTATCAATCTGCTCTCAAAAAAGACCTCACCCGGGCCGGCCCGTGGCTCACTTGAGAGAGTGTGGTGCTGATGACACCAAGGCCAAGGGTTCGGCCAAGGGTTCAGATCCCTATATAAGGATGGCCGGTTGGCTCACTTGGGAGAGCCTGGTGATGACTACACCAAGTCAAGGGTTAAGATCCCCTTACCGGTCGTCTTCAAAAAAAAAAAAAAGACCGCACTCGTTTTTTCCTATTTTTGAAGATAATTATTTTATTTAAAAAAATTTTTTTTTTATTGTAACATAGTTGATTGTATATATCTGTGGGGAACAGAGTTGTATATCAATACCTGTGAGATTGCACCAATTTATGGTCTCATCAGCATTTAGTACCCATCTTCTGCATTCATCGGTAGCATCACCATAAAAAAATTATATATATATATATATATATATATGCCAATATATATATATATGCCAGTTTATTAGGCGCAAGGAGTTTCTTGACAAGTTTTCTACCACGCTGCCTCTCCTCTGGACACGAGAAGGGGTCCTTTTTCTTTTATTTCATCTCCATCAACGTGACTCGGCCTGAGGGGCGAAGGAGAAAGGGGACTCCAGTCACTGCAGAGGAACAGAGGAAAAGGCCGGGGTACCTGGAGCGGAGGAGCTCACGTCGCCGCTCGAGGTAGGAACCAGAACACAGATCCTCCTTTCCCAGTAGAGTCTACTTGGGGGCCTCTGGACAGCAGAGGGCGCAGCGGGTCCCGCCCCGCGTCCCCGTGACGTATTTCCGCGTCATCTGCCGCCGAGGTCTGCTCCCATTGGCTGTCAGCGCGGTGATCGGGGCGGAGCCGAGCGGGTGTGTGGAAAGCGCTGCAGCCGGGGCGGGGAACAGGCTTCCCTCTTTCCCGCCCCTCCCCCGCCCGTCAGTCCCTCCCAGGGACGCCTGCGAGCGCGGCGGTGTCTTCGCTTTCCCCGGCTGGGGCCGGAGGAGGGTTCTGGTGCGCGCCCGGCACCGCCGCTCGAACCCGAGACTGAGGAAGAGAGGGAGGAAGTCCCGGCTGCCGAGCCGCGCGCGCACTGCCCACTCCT